TATTCAAGAATCTACATTTACGATCTGATATCCGAATATTTCTAGTGATTAAGAATAATTTAAAGATAAATGCTAAGCAAGCATGATAATTTTGATGTGATTAATTTTTTCATGTTTGTCTTTAAAAACTCTAAATATATAAATGTTATAAATCGTATAAATTAAAGACATAGTACAAAGGCATTGTGGTATACAATTAAAATAATCATACCTATCTGTTACTTCTAGATTTTTTACTATGGAAAACAGCGTTTGCAAAGGACAGATAAAGCATAATTTGAATAATTATAAAAGTTTAGGAGAATTGGTTTGGATTACCATTAAAAGCAATGGGAATAAAATTGCATGCGTGAGTAAAAAATTAAAATAAAAAATAACTGCGAAGTTAGTTCTATACTAACAATCTGTTTTTATTGAAATTATATTGTTCTAAATCTTATTTTATAAAAAAGATGATAATAAATAAATAAATAAATACCCTAAAATTATTTCAGCAGATATTAATAATGATTAATTTTTTTTTCTAAGAGAGAAATTAATTTGTAAAAAAATAAAATTTGAACAAAAGTTATTTAAGTACAAATAATTGTAGATACATAATACTTCAATTTTATATAATTTCATTTTATATATATAGTTTTGATAAAAAATATATGTTCCTAGATTGAACTATTTTTCCAATTGTGAAATTAATGTCTCTGCAATATATATAGTTTTTGTTATCATTTTTTTGTGAATTTTGAAAATTTTGTATAATACTACTTTGCAGTTGGATGCACGTACTGAAGAAACAGTCACATACGCGGAACTGCAAGATAAAGTTGTGAGATGTGCCTTGTGGTTTCAAAAACAAGGAATTAAATCCGGTGACGTTATTAGCCTGTGCACAGGCAATCATCTCAACTCCATCGTACCTTGTCTTTCAGCAGCTTATATTAACGCAATCTTCAATCCGTGGAATGAAAACATGGACTTGCGTAAGTTCTTTTGTGATTATCAAATATATTTTCACATATTACATTCTATTAGATTAATGAGTTGAATGAGAATAACGTTCAATAACAATTCAATTTTATCTACTTTGTTAAATTGGACATAATTAAACTATACAATATTATTTAACGTAGCATTTATCTTTTTATTATGTATGAACTATTTTTGTATTTGTTATCAGAAACTGCACTGAACTTTTTGCAACTAATGACGCCGAAGATGATCTTTTGTAGCGAGAAATCTATAAATGTTATGTTAAACGCAATAAAGAAACAGAATTGCAATCCCATGATAGTAATCTTCGGCAAACATGTTGATGCGGTTTCATTTTCTGATATCTTGAAAAATTGTAACAATGCAGAAATAACAAATTTTCATTACATTGAGCTCGATGACATCAAAAAAACAGCGTGCATTTTGCATACGTCGGGCACCACGGGAACGTTGAAGGGAGTCGAACTGTCTAATTACGCTATGTTAACTTTAATGCAACACCAATGGATACACATAACCAACATACCATCACTTTGGTTCTCTTCTCTTTTTTGGTTGAGTGGAATAATGATGAACTTCAATGGAATCATGCAAAGCACCAAAGCAATTATCTATCCAGAATTTGACGAGAATATGACTTGTCAATTAATCGAAAAATACAAAGTAATATTATTTATTTTACGAATTTTATGAATAGCTTCTTTTATCAAATAATTAAAGTAAACAAATTAAATTTTTTTATATATCCTATTTTTAAAATGTGATAACTAAAATATGTTATCGCACATGATAATTACGGATTTTTTGTGATAGCTAAGTTTTCACAAGTGATCACAATGATAATATTTATTCTTCGAGAACTTCTCCTATGATAATATTGCGCTAATTTCTTTAAAATAAATTATAATGTTTTATTTTAAGGTAATAATTTATTGTGTTAACTTGTGGTAAAAATTATTATACTATTAATAATTATAATATCAACAATGTGCTATTAATTTTTTTATTAATACTTGTCGTACATTTAAGAGTTACAAATTGCATTTTATCAAATTAATAGCAAGTTATATATTAATTAAAATCTCGCAAGATAAATGCAAATTTTAAGTAAGAAAAAGAATATATTACAATTGTTTATCTACTCATTAAGTATGTTGTAATTAATTTTGTGCACATAATACGACAATGAAGTAAAAATTATGTTATTATTTATCTAGATACAAGTTCTTTTTCTTAGCACGAATTCCTTGAATCGATTTCTGAAATCCGAATACATACAAAAATATCCATTATCATCTTTGAAAGTTATAAAATGCGGTGGTTCGTTACTTAAGACAAAAGTGCAAGAAAATCTAAGGAATATTTTACCACGTGTTCAAATATTGCAATGTTACGGTAAAAAACGCTATATGCCATAAAATTTCAATATGCGTTATATAGTTTTGATTATATTTCTTATGCTTCTAGGAATGACGGAAACTGGTGGTATTGTAACGATACAGCAACCACATCATAAAAATGGATCTTGCGGAGTCTTAACCGAGAATGCGCAAATGAAAATCGTTGATCTAGAAAGCGGGAAAGTACTTGGTCTGAATCAATCAGGAGAAGTATGGATGAAAATTCCAAGCTTAATGAGTGGTTATTATAGAAATCCCGAGGCAACAAAGAATATCATTGATGATGAAGGTAAAGATATTTTTTTCTGTCAAAATAATTATTATTTAGGATTGTTACTTACTACGTGCAATGTCTTAAAACAATTTACAATTTATCTTAAAAGCTATTACTATGTAAATTTTGTGTTTTATATTAAATTTAAAAGATTATATTTAATAATATCTTTATCAAATTACATAAAAATAAATTCTTGGAATATTTGTAGGATGGCTGCATTCGGGTGATATCGGTTATATAAATGGTGATGGAGAATTATTCATTGTCGATAGAATAAAGGAAATTATAAAGTATAGAGGCTATCAGATCTTTCCTGGAGAAATCGAAAATATATTACTATCACATCCAGCAGTGTTAGAAGCTGCAATAATAGGAGTTCCTCATACATTAGACAATGAGTACCCTCTTGCTTATATCATCAAGAGGCCTGGCGTCAAGGTTCAATTTTTTTATTGGAAATATAATGGAATCATAAATAAAAAAATTTACAAAATAAATTTTCTCTGATCAAATAACTGCAAACTAATTTTACATATTCCAGAATATCTCTTTAAAAATCAAAGATAAATAGAAAACAATTTCAATAAAAATATTTGTTTTAGAGATATAATTAAAAAAACATAAAAAATTTTCACATTATTATATTAAAATTTTTTAATATTTTTATAAAATCAATATATAAAATTTCATTTCTTTTATTTTATAATAAATCAAATTAAACGATATTGTGTATATTGAATGAATGTCATTATTATTTATACATTATTTTTTAATTCGAAATAAGAAATCATTATGTATTAGAACTTTTCTTACACTAATTTAATTTTCTTTATATAGGTGACAGAACAGGAATTGATTGATTTTGTGGCGAAGAACATGAAAGATCAATACAAACTACGTGGAGGCGTTATATTTTTGGACAGTTTACCATATACTGATTCAGGGAAAATTTCGAAAAAAGATTTGAGAGCAATGACAAGGAAATTGATACAGCGAAATGATTAAATTAACTAAGATAATTTTATAATTTTTGTATAAAATAATGTTTAGAATAAAATCTAAAATTTATGAAATTGTTAAATTATGAGACGCATTCAATATATATATAAAGCATGTTTAAATTTATACTTATACATAATAATTATTAATTATTAATTGTTACACTTATGTTAATTATATATAGTAATTAAAAGTGTAGAAATATTTGAATACAAATTGTAATAATATAAAAACTATTACATTGTGTATATATAATTTATTATTAATTATTATTAATGTATATGCTTCCATATATCTATTTATGCATATGCTGATGATAATGCAAAGATAATAGGCTATATAGACTGTTATATTATTTTTAGAATTTTTTTTTATTATTAATATTTTTTCAAGTATATATGTCTTTTTTATATAATTTCTTATAAAATCTTCATGGTTATCAAGATACTCTTTTGTATAATTATTGTTAGTAGATATACCAAAAAATTATGAATAACTATAAAATGAGTTGTATAAAATTTGTTAGAAACAGATTTGATATATTCGAACATGTTCTTCTATCTTAGAAAACAGTTTACTTTCTATGTAATAATATTCCGAGAATATCTATTACATGAGTTGTGTTCTTAATGTATATTCTTAATCTATAACTTCTCCGCCTCCACCGATATGAAAAATGCTCCTTTATAATTTGTATCGATCATATTGCAAAGATCTTATAGAGACTCTCTATCGTCAATCTCAATCGATGGCCTTTTTTTCTTTAGACACATGTATTTTATTATTTTATTTGTCGTATAATTTATAATAAATACTACAATTTACAAAGTAAAAAAAATTTGTTGTATGTATTTGTTGAAAACGGTCTATTCGCGTTTGTGTTAACAATTTATATTGAATTTTTTAACATTCGAGTGTTAATTTAACATAATGTGATTATGTTATTTAAAGATTTTTTGTGAAATTGATACTTAATGTTTTTTAGTGTCAAAATGACACAATTTATAAGTAAATGAACAAGTAATATAAAAATAATATGTTTTAAAACGTAAATTTTAAGACAAATGAATAAAATCCGTGTTAATATAACATATAAATGTTAATTTTCTGATAAAAAATATTTTTTTCAAACTGTTTATTTACAAACTGTATCGATGTTATCTTTCTTTGTATTTATTCTCTCACATAATATTTGTGTTATCTTCTAATATATTCATCTTATGAATGCCTACTAAGTAAAATTAACTGAAAAATTTGAGTGGACCGTTTGGGACATGCAATTTATGTTAAATTCAACACATTTTTTCCAACTGTGTATTTACATTCATTTATAATATGTTGCAATTTATTTTACGTAAATAAAATACGGTTTTTTTCATTTAATGATACATGACATAAATTGCAATTATTGCCAAAAATATTGATTATCTAGCAATAATTGTCAAAAGAATATACAGTCAATCTCATCATTTTATGAGATTGTTCGAATGTAAAATCAACAAATCAACGATATATTAAATAAAAAAGAACAAATTTTACAAATGATATTTAGTAGCCAATATTGTATTACTTAGAATTTAATAATAATTTAACTGATTAAATTACAAATCATTAATTTTTAATTCAAAACATCATGTATCATTAAAAACAAAAATACCAAAACATTGTTATATTATAGATTACAGATATTGAAAAAGAATTAGCAAATCGTCAAATGTAAAAATATGCCATCAATAATAATATTTATATAAAATTTAGTTAGCTTTAATTTTTTTAGTTTTTCTAGGATATCCACGTGCGTTTGCTTCTTTAAACATAGCCACAAGAGAATCCATAGTCTCTTCTCCAGTCGGAATAATTTGATCAGCTGGCAACAAAAAACCGTAATGACCTGTATCACGTAACTCATAAGTGAAGGTGATAGGTGTACCATAAGTGCCTTTAACCCAATCCATAGAACCTCCGGATGCCACATCTGAAAACAATTTTACAAAAAGAGTAAGTTTAAAGAACCATATTTTTATATACAATTATTTTAATTTAAGATTGCATTATATCAATTTTACAATATTTTAAATATAATAGAATTAAAAAATTGTCCGACAATAAACCGTTCGAGAAACTAAAATGTATTTAGATATAACAAGACAAATTGGTAGGTAGATGAATAGATGATAGATAGAAGATGAGAAAGAGAAAAAGAAGACAAATTTAATGAAATTTTTTACGTACATATTGTCTCTGCAATATTTCCGACCGTATAATGAGTTCCATATTTCTTTTCAAGAGCTATAGCCGTTTTCACGCCAATCTCATACTAAAAATTATAGAAATAATGTAAATAATACAAATATAAATAATAATATAAATGTATAAACATATAAATTTTATGTTCTATTATTTCTACAAATAATCATTAAAATTTTTTGGACTAATGCACAATATTTTAAATACTTTTTATAAATAATAGATAATTATATTTTTATTTAAAATAATTTATGCAACAATAATAAATAATGTACATATCGATAAAACTAATATTCTTACGTACTGCCTCGATGAACATGTAACATCGAAATCGGAAATTCATCCGAAAACATTGTGCTATCAACGGATTGCAAAATGATAATTATATACAATTATTTGCATTTACTTATAATTCAGTTGATAATACTGTCTCACTAATAAATATACTGATAATTATAGAAAAACTGATTGTTCTATTAGTTTAATACTATCAGTTTAATACTCTATCAGTTTAATACTGTTCTCTGTGATATATAATTATTTTATTATGAATTTTATATAATGAATTTCAAAATTATATTTATTTTACTTGGAGCGTTCAAATTAAAATTATAATAATTATACAAAAAATAAAAGAAACACAGTTAAATCATATTAGTTTTTAACATAATCTGTGCGCGCGCGCGTGTGTGTGCGTGTGTGTGTGATATTTTTAATACACTGGAGTTCCGACATATTTTCATCTTTTATATATTTATCGAGAAAAAAATTTTGATCTGCAGGTTAATCCACTCTCAAATACTTGTAATGTTCTCTGCACTAAAAATAAACTTTTATCGAAACTTTTTTAGAAATTTTATTCCATTTAAATATACTAATATGCGATAACATTGGTTTCTTTCATTTCTTTTTACTAATTATTGAATATTTTTACGCTGAGAAAAACCTAATTGAAAAGGTTGAAATGTTTGTCAATTTTTTTCAAGAATAAAGTATATGCTTTCACATACGCCTAATCTGTGTTGGTCGCATTGGCTGATTTACATCTATAGGATTGGACTAATTATTGAATTATTGAATTATAATTTACATTTGAAATATTTACATATTCTATAATTAAAATTACAATACTTACCAAGTCGTCATAGTTATCAAGGTGAGCCGTTGTGTGACCATATGGGATTAACAACAGTTGCGAGTAACTATGGAACGCGACATATGCATACAATTTGTCGGAAAGAGAACCGATATATTTGGACAAGGTCTTTGTCTCAATTTCGGAGAATGGTGCATTTCCAGCGTAGGTTTCGGAACATGCAGAATTGCTAGCGCCTCCAGCTGATAATATCAAATTACATATAAATATATGTATGTTTATAAATAATACTAAAAATCGCGCTAATTTCCAAAGTCTATAGATTAATTTCAACTTTTTATTAGATAATATTTAATTTTTTATTATTACATGGAACAATTTTCTAACATAATATAAATTCTTACTATTCCATTTGTAACCCCAGTTTCTGTTGGGATCACTGCCATAACAGAAGAAACTATATTGTTTACGTGTTTTTCTCCATAATCGATTCTAAAATAAAATATTTGTATAATTAATGTATAATTAGCAAAGAATGCTCTATGTAATATTATAAAATTTACTTTGGTGTGCGTGTACACGTATCCATCGGGATTGAATGATGGGAAGATATACCAATCGTGGCTCTCAGCCAGAGCTCTGATCTCTGGATTGTCGCTTTTCAACAATTTATGCAATATGTACATGACAGTTGCTGTAGAGATCCATTCTCTAGCGTGAATACCACCCTCAATAAAGACTCCAGGATTATTAGCCTTAAAGGAAACCTTGACGCCTTTGATTTGACGTCCCTCATATGTCTGGCCGCCCACAACAATTTGCACAAATTTGGGATATTGCTTCATCAAGTCATTTAGATTCTTGTAAATTACGTCTAATATGTGATAGTTCTTAAAATCAAACGTTGACGATGCACTCGCAGGAGCTGCCCGATTGATTAACGCCTGAACATTCTCAATAAAAACTGTATAGGGTATTTGCATCTGCTTCATCATTTGATAAAATTCAGGCAGCTTATGCGGGGCTATCATAAGTTCCGCTTGTTTATTCGCAAACGGTGCAATCCAGTAGGAAAACTGTAAATGAGGTTTATTTAATAGCAACAATTTTAGTTTAAAAAATTATTAACAAATTTATCAGTTTTTATAACTTTTAAGTGTTACATAATATAATAAATAATTTAATAAATTTATAGAGATAAAGTTGGTTTTAATAATTTTATAAATTTTATAAATTTGTGTATATTAATACTATTTTTGTGAGGTTTATTTTTTGTGAGATGAATTTTATAGCTAATTAAGTTTTTAAGTAATTACAAATTTTTAAAAAAGATAAATTTTCGAAAATTATTGGAGAAAGTCTGATTATGTTAATTAAAATTCTTGGTATAACTAATCAAGACTCCTTATAAATCAAAGAATTGAAAAGGATATGGACAGTGTGAAATTTCTTTATTCGCTAAAGCGCGTTTTAGATATTTGCGCGACATCTTTTGCGCTTGACTCCTACTGCCCATGTCCTTTCCAATTCTTTAAAATTCTTGGTTAAAAATGAATCAGAACAATTCTTGAAATAACCAGAATTTAAATGGTGAAGCAAAATCTTCTGAATCCATTTTCAAGTAGAATTTTTTTCGATAATGTTATACAAAGTATATTAATTTACTTGTCTTTCTGTTTGAAAAATCTACTTACTCCATCATGATTTTTTGTCAACTCGTAAAACAACTTCGCCTGTCTCAGTGTAGTCGCATTAAATCTGATGACCTTATAATTATTAAAAGTAACCTGCTCGGCAGCCACAAGGCCCACGATCGTGTAGAATATTAATAACTTCCACATAATGTGCCCTTTAATTTTAAATATCAATTTCAGTTAATATTTTAGGGTTACAATTATTATAAAAATTTATTTTATATTATTTTATATAATTATTAATTAAATTAATATTGAATTAATATCTATTACTTTATATAAATAATATTTCATTATATACAGATATAATGTAACTTAAATTCACTTACGAGCAAATATCAATTGTGATTTAAGCAACAAAACATGTAATTCTTGTAATATATAAACAATTTATATCCCAAGAAGAGAACTTACTTTTCTATAAAACGGAGCACTGGTAATTACCGATATTATGAGATTCATTAATTTAAATACCTAGTTGCACACGACACTAAACTTCCACTATCGCACTAATTTACTATTGGGGTTTTGACATAGAATTTTATACAGGATGAGTCAAAAATAAAAAAACCTCTAAATATCTCGGAAAATATAAGTTTTACAGAAAAGTGTTTCAGACAAAAGTTATAGGATTTAAGAAAATCTTTTTACTGATCTTATTAGTTTGATCTTAGTGGCATCGCAAAGGTTCAAGATCAAATCGATTTTTTAAAACGAAAACCTTCATTTTTCATATTATATATTCTTGAGGTTTATCTTTACTTTTCAAAGCACTATAATAAAACATTTTTTTTATTAACTACTTTTTAATTATTATAAGGCACGAAAGTTACAATGTCGCTAGCATTATCTATGGTGTCTAACCAGTTAAAACCATTCAAGTATTATTTCAAGAATTATGACCTTGATAACATTTGTTAAAATCATGGTTTTTTTAAGGTTGTTCTTATTCTTATGCTAAAAAGTTCTTCCTAAAAAGTTCTTTTGTCTCATCCTGTACATTAAACATACATTTATGTACATCTTTTACAAGTCTCTTATATCGATCACTTGTATTAGCCATCTGTATACATATTCACTTGTACACTTATTAATCTTAAGATGATCATTTTCTCGCACAATGGAAATATTGCTACACAGAAAAAAAATAATATTGTTTCAAGCATTATTTTAATTGAAAATAATCTTGTTGATTTGACAATAATATTAATGAAATAAATAAAATTTTATTAAAACAAAAACATAAATATTTATTTTATTAATGGTGTTATTAAATTAACAAAATTATTTTCAATTAAAATAATGCCGTTGATACAATATCATTTTTTTCAGTATAAGAGCATAAAATTATTAAATTATTTATTAAATTATTTAATTTATACAGTTATATTTAAATGAATTTTTTAAATTTCCATATATTAATTATTATTCTCATATATAGAATGAACCATATGATGATTTTAATTAATCTACTAGAATATCTCAAAATTGTTAAAGTTAATAACCAATTTCTTTATCACTAGACAACTTTATTCATGAGCTATGTCCTAGATATATGAATAAAGATATATGAGATATCTGGGAGTTATCTGGAAGATATTCCATAGATAAAGTTGTTGGCAACTTATCTAGAGGTGAAGAAATTGACAATAAAACAAAAATGTTTCAAACAAAAGTTGTTCGATTATTAAGAAAAGAAGACGGTGATATTGTTTGATCTTCTTCAAGAAAATGTTCTTAAAGTCAGATCAATATTACTTAAAATTTTTTAAAATAAATAAATAATCTATTTTTTATTTCATGTTTATATAGATACTTCCAAATCTTTTTAAAAACACTATAATAAGGTATTTTTTCATTAGTACCATTTTTTATTATTTTTTTCAAAGTACTTTTTAAATTATGGTGTCTGAAAGTTGACAAGTCAACGCTTTAGTTAACCCATTGAAAAATTTGAGATAAAGAGAAGACAATGACCTAAGTTGTTCTCGAGTTGAAGTCATCTTGAATTTTTTTAAATACATTCTTTATAATTTTAGTATGTCGTTATTCCTGAGCGCTAAAATAGTAGATGGCTTCAGGTGGCTTATTGCATTGTCCGGTCTTTTTTCCGGCCGAAATTAGAATATATTTAATTTCATAGACTCTATAATTTATTGTCTTGAAATCCAATCACATAATATATGATAAAAATATAATTTTTTTTAATATATGATAAAAATATAATGTTTTTTACGTTTTGTATTATATCAGTTTTATTGACTTATCATGAAATTAAATGTTATGCAACTAAAAATATCAATTTTTTAATGGCTTCATTAAGGATACGAGAGAGATCTAAAATCTAAATAAACGCGAATAAGATGATTGAAATATACAATAAAATATAAATAAAGTTTTGGGAAATTAAAAGAATAAGGATGGATCTGAAACATTTCTAGATGTGCCATCTAGATGACACATGTATAATTTTTTTGTTTAATCGAGCACAGAAATATCAAAACATTGTAACATAATTTAGATTAAATTAAAATTTATTAATAGCATTATATCATAAATTCACATAAACAAGAAAATCTGGACTAAAACACTAATAATTATAAAAAGTCAGATAAATAAAAATTTTATCAATATAATATTACTTATTGTTAGCAATATCAAATTTTACAAATCATTTCTGATATCTACATTTTTATGCATTATTATCTCCTTAAATATGATTACAAGAGAGTCTAGAGTCTCTATTCCAGTTGGAATAATTTGATCAGGAGGTAACAAGAAACCGTAATGACCGCGATCGCGCAACTCGTACACATAAACGATATGCTTATTATAAGTACCTTTGATGTAATCTATAGTAGTTCCGGAGGTCAAATCTAAAATGAAAAGTGTAAATTAAAAAAAATAGCCCTTTGATTTTTTTGCAACTATTTTTATCTCCAAATGTAATATTTGAAATTAGCTTACATTTTTCATTTACAATCAGAATAAATAAAATTTTCTTATAAATTAAAATATAAAGGAAAATTTTCCTATTTATTTTATACTTTATATAATTAAGTATTACTCAACCTATACGCAGAAATAATAACATTATAAATAAGATAAGATAAAATTGTTTTACTTACAAATTGTCTCAGCAATATTTCCAATTCGATACTCGGTGCCGTATTTTTTTTTAAGAGCTGCAATTGCTTTTAAACCAATGGCATACTAAAAATACGAATATATATAGAATAATTCAATTTGGATTTGTCCATATCATATTAATATGATAAAAATCAGATTAATTAAAAAACAAATTTCAAACTAATTAAAAAATGTCACAAACATGTTGATAATAATAATAATAATATATAATAGTAAAGTAGAGATATAAAGTTAGACAATTTATTATAAAATATAATTTCTTTTTTATACTGAATATTTCTAACAATTACAATATCTTCATATTAAAATATCATACCAATTCATCATAATTGTCGAGGTGAGCTTTTGTATGACCATAAGGGAACATTAAAAGTTGATTAAAATTATGAAATGAGATATACGCATAAAATTTATTAGAAATAGATTGAATATATTCCGACATACTCTTTGTTTCTATTTCAGAGAAAGGTTTATTTCCAGGATAAGAATTGAAGCACGGATTTTTGCTGGCACCAATAGCTGAAAGTGTCAATTTATTAGCTAATTACCAAGGAGCTGTGTTCACAGAAAGTATGAGCACTTACTATTCCATTTGTAGTTCCAATTCCTATTGAGATCTGTACCAACGCAAAAACGATTTTGCGGTTTACGATTCTTTCTCCATAAACGATCCTGGAAGCATATAACATTTATTTTATGTATATTTATGTACATTAACTTATTCGCATAAATTAATACATGATTCTATGTAATGCTAGAAAATAAGATTTACCGTCTTGTGCGTATACACATATCCATCAGGATTGAACAAAGGGAATATGTACCAATCATGGCTATCAGCCAGATTTCTGATGTCCGAGTTATTGCTGGTCAGTAACTGATGCAGAATGTACATGACAGTCGCCGGCGATATCCATTCCCTGGCGTGAATGCCACCCTCAAGGAAAATTCCAGGATTGTTGGCCTTAAAAGAAACTTGGACACCTTTGATCTGACGTTTCTCGTACGTCTTGCCGCCTACAATAACCTTCACTTTGTTAGGATACCGTTGGGCCAAGTCATCCATGTTATTGTAGATTATTTCAAGACTGTGGTAGCTCTTAAAATCAAACGTTGATTTATAACGAGGCATTGTTTGGTCAATTAGCGTTTGGACATTTTCAATGTTAACATAATAGGGTACACCGATTTGAGTTATCACTTCGTAAAATTGCGGCAGATAGTTTGGGACTATCATAAGATTTAATGTCATGTTTACCACTGGTGTTTCCCAAAATATAAACTGTAAATGAGATTTAATTGCGTAATTAATTTTAATGTTAATAGAAGAATTTGTAAACCTAATTTTATATAATTATATATAATAAAAATCTAATTTATTATGTATACATGTAAAATTGAATTTACGAATGTTGGATAAATTATTTGAAGTTTGCAAAACTAATTTGAAATTATAACAATGAATTTATATAGCACTGATTTTTCCGAAGAAAAAAGATCTTTATAACTCTGTAGTACTTATGTATAATGTTTATATCTAAAAGTCTTACTCTATCACGAAATTGTGTTAATTTGCGAAGTAGTGTGATATGTTTCTGCGTGGTTGGAGTAATCCTAAAGATTTTATAATTATCATATGTTGCCTTCTGAGCAGTAATTATAATTACAATCGTAGATAATACTGTTAATTTCCACATAATATTTCTGTACAAAAAGATTTTTAATAATTGTTGTAATAAAAAGCTACTTTCTTATTGTATTTTTATCATATTGCAATATATATCATTCTTATAAAAAAATTTAATTATTGAAATCTTATTATTATTGTCAGATAAATTTTTAAGTTCTAAATAATTTAGAATACTTCTTTGTTGATTAAGAGACATTGACATACGTGTCTGCAGTTTTGTTCACTGCAGTCATTATAAACACATATGTGATTAATGATAATATAAATATCTAACATTATTTGAAAAACAATTGAATATTATTATATAATTGTAAGTAAAAAGTTACGTTGAGAAAATTATCCAATAAATAAATGTAAGTTAAAGACATTTATTATATAATATTAATATAATTATGATCAAACCTGCTTAAGATAAATATATCAAATAATCCGTAATATCAGGAGTGTTTAATAGGTGAAAAGTAAGAGCCAACCATATAAATAGTAATACAAAGATAAAATATGATGAAAAAAATCTACTAATATTTATTTTCTAAAATCGATGTCAATTTCTAGCAATTGGATTCAAATCAGTAACAGACGTATATCATTTAAAATAAGACATTCAAAACAACAACATATATGTTGATAACTTGTTTGTGTTCAAAATACGAAGTCTCTCTTTGCGAAATCTTTAAATATATTCAATAATTGATCAAAAAAGATAAAAATCAATAATATACTAATTGTTTATCCTTTTAAATATAGAGAGTATACATTATTTAAAAAAAAAGACAAATTTTTTTAATTCCCTTTTATTGATCAATATTTTATTATACTCTCCACAAAGAATGCTTAGAAAAAGGTATTCAGAAACAGAATTTCAATAAAGACGATGGATTATCAAATGATATAATTTATCCTTACATTCATAATGCTACATATTTTTAATAAAAATTATTTCTGTATTATATATATATATATATATAAGTCTTTATATATGTAGATAATCTTTTATTATTTCATTTATTATTTCATGTATCTTTTATTATTTCATAAATAGATCGTTAAATGTCTGTTTAGTTATTTGCTATTAACAGATGCATTTCTGCATCAATACTTTATACAACTATTTTAATATCTTCTATAAATAATAATTATACGGCAGTATATCAAAATTTATTGTCAGTGCTAAAAATCTCTAGTTTACGTTACGTGTACTATAGGTTTTCAGCACTAACAGTGAATTTTGGAACACAGCTTATGTATTGTTATCTAAATAATTATTATCATTTTTAGTTGCTTGCAAACAGAAATAGTTGAAAATAATTAACTTAAATTACTATTTTAAATATTGTACTATTTATATTAGGAGTGCTAAAATAAACAAATTAAGAATTATGTTTAATAATAAAAATTTTGATAAATGTCAAAAAGATATTCTAAAATATAAATCGATTATTTT